CGGGGATTGAGCCTGCAGCCAAGGTACATGCCGTTGGCCGGAATAGAACCTGGGACTCTTCGATTCACAGGCCAACACTCTAACCACTGAGCCAAACCAGCTAGGACCATTAAGAATTTTTTTAAACCCCTCAGGCAATTCCAAAGTGCAGCCACGTTTGAGAATGGGTGCATTAAAACACCTTTTTGATGTTCTCACAATATGCATTTCTAAGTTAAAAAACAATCTTTCCCATGGTAATTCCCAATGTCTTCCTTTAAATGCTGAAAAATGCGAAAGATATTTTAACCTGGAATCTTGCCATCTCCTCTATCTACTCCCATTTGTATCTGCATTCATGCCTCAATCGCATAATTATCCTTTAGGGAGACCAGATTTTGCCACATTTGCCACTAAAAATTTTTTGTACAAAAGGAAGTGGGGAATTTTTGGTGAGGAAGGGGTTAAGATGATAGCCTAGTTGCATGCTGGGAATTGTAGTCCAATAGCAGTGACTTATCAGTGAAGCACTGTGGGCTTCCAAAGAGGTGCCCAGTACCCCACATTCTACACAGCCTTTTGGAGAGGCAGTGTCCAGTAGTGGCTAATACTGTGGACATCAGAGTCAGAACACCTCGGTCAGACCTCAGTGCCACATCTTACTAGGTTCAGAACTCTGGGCAAACTACTTAACCTCCTAGGCCTAAGTTTCCTTTTCTATAAATATAGAGGAAATAATAATACAAATATGTAGCCCATGGGATTGTTATGAAGATTAAATGAATTAATATATATAAAGTGTTCAGAACAGCAGCTGGCACATAACATGCATCCTGTAAGTGTCAGCTTTCATTATTATTGCCTTCTCAACTTCTCCCTTGACCAAAGTTCTATTCTCTTGGACCATAAACGTTGAAAATCCCCCAATTCCACAGTCAGGATGTAAGAGTTTAGCAGTCCTGTGAGAAATGATCATTATCTATTTGTTTAAATGGTTCTCTGGTCATTTCTCTTTAAAATCATGAGGTTGGGTTTGGGGTGATAGGCTAGGGCAGAGGGAAATGATATTAGCTAACAGACCCTGGCACGCATCCCTCAGTGAGTGTCCCTTGGCTTTGTCTGTCCAGCAATCCATCCTCTCTGCTTCTGGTAGGGGCACTGAAGTTTCCTTTGGGGACCCACTCCTCTCTCATCGTGTGCACTCTTGGTAGAATTGCCACTAAGGTGCCCTGCTTCCTCATGGCAAATAGGCAAGCACCTGACCCAGCTCAGCTCATTGGACTCTCTCCTCTGGGAAGGAACATGAGGATAAGAACTGATTAGAGTGTATTCACCTGAAGAGATTGCCCATTAGTTCCCGCCACCTAGATCCCCAAGCTCCCACAAGTTTATCCATTTCTGAAGCCTGGTTGGACAGTCCTTCCTTGAATTCTGTGAACCACTGCCTCACCAAGGCAATAAGGCCCTTGTATGTTTAGGTTGGCAAGAGTCCATGTCTGTCACTTTCTACCAAAGTATCCTAAGTGACACACTACTTTCAAGTAATCTTTAAGATCTGGTTCTCTGCTCACTGCCCTGTCCCCACTTCTCATCCAATTTTTGTCCAGTTATCAGTAGCTGACTGCCTTCACTGTGACATGCCTTTTACATGCATTATCACCAATTCTAATATCAACAATGCAAAGATGGCATTACTTCTATTTTATCAATGTAGAAAATGAGGAACAGAGAAGTTAAGCAACTTGCCCAAGGTCACACAGTTGGTAAATAACAGAAAGAATATTCCAACATGTCTAATTGTTGCCCTCAATCAGCAAGTGGAATTTATTGGAATTGAGATCAACATTTCTGTGCCATTTCACAGAAATGGGTGAAGATCTTTAGTGTCCTCTGAGGCAGTGTTTCCTCTTCCTTCTTTCCTTCCTTCCTCCCGCCCTCCCTTTCTTTCTTTTTGTCATAAACTATAAGAAACATTTTATATCACAACCCTGCACACACACAGATAAACACAACGGAAACAAAGTTTTCATAAAGCAATACCTACTCTTATTGGTGCAATACAGTCCAATTTTGGATTCAAAACTATTTCATTCTTTAAAAAAAAAAAATGTGTTTATTGACTTGGGAGAGAGAGGAAGGGGGTAGGAGAGAGAGACGTCGATTTGTTGTTCCACTTATTTATGCATTCATTGGTTGCTTCTTGTATGTGCCCTGACCTGGCATTGAACCTGCAACCTTGGCTCATTGGGATGACATTCTAACCAACTGAGCTACCAAGCCAGGATCAAAACAACTTCATTCTTTAAAATTCTCCTTGTACAATCTGCTTATACTAGATTGATTTTGCAACTCACTGACACATCTGACTCGCAGCTTCAAAAACCCTGCTCTATTGAGGAAGCTGCTTAAACTGACACCAGTTTGCATGTCTGAGTGTTTGTAAAGGAGGAAGGGCCAAGCTGGATCTTTTAAGTCTCATAATAATGATTTGTTTACTTGTACAATGTGTGTTTCCTAGGCCACACCAGCCTGAGGGGAAAACTGAGAGCAGAATCACTGCACAGGCTGTTGCTCTCTCTCTCTCACTCTCTCTCTCTTTTTCTCCCCCCTCCCCCCAGCTTTCATTGGCTCTAGCAGAATCGCGATCCCTTCCACAGAGACCCCTTCCCATTTCTGAGGATGCCTAGGGAACATTGCACATGTGCTCCCAAACATCACACTCTACCCCATTTCCCTTCTTTTGCTCCAGGTGCCTGATGGGATCATCCACCAGTTCCTCTGATGTCTGTGGGGCTGTCACTCTCTCTGGGACACTAAGGTGGAGCTGGTTTTGGTGGAAAATCCAGTGACTTTGGTGATGTGTGAGCCGAGGGCCTGGTTAGGGACACTGCTGGTCTCACACCTTACAGCATCTCCAGTGCCACAGCTCTGAGTAGTTCCTCCTGGTACCCAACACAATACCACAGTGCTCACCAAACTGGAGAGAACTCTCTTTGTTACAAGGACCCCAGAATGACTTTCTCTTACGTCTCTAACACATACATGTTCAGGGGCAGGGGGATGAAAATATTTCCACCCTGTACTCATGCCTTCTTTTTCTCCACCTCTGGACCTGTCCTTGGATTGCGTTTGGATGTTGCTCTCACCCAAATTGGTAAGTTCCTTCTTTCCAGGAGTCTCCTTGGTTCCTCCATGCGAATAGATTCTTGGCAAGGTGACAGCCTGTCATCCTGCCCAGAAGCCACATGTTCAGAATTCAAGTCCTGTTGTGATGATGATGATGATGATGATGATAATGATGATGATGACGATGACGGCAAATCTTTCCCAGGTGTCAGACCCCTGGCTAAGCACTTTACGTATATTACTGTATTCATTTTCTCAACAATTCTATGTGACATGTACTATCATTATCCTCATTTTACACAGGAGAAAACTGTGGTCTAGAAAGGTTAAATAGCGGCCATGGTCACATGGCTGGCAAAGCAAGGAGCCAGCCCTGGGCCCGCTCAGCCACTCCTCTACAACTGGGACTGGGCGGTGAGCTGCCTTGGCCAAGGCCTTCCAGCCTCCCTGGGCCTCCTTCCACCTCTGCCTTCATCCTTTCTAGCCCCCTCCCCGCAAAACCCCAGGTGGGTGCCAAACCTTATCTAAAGGCCTTCAAGTGGGCCTAAGCCTCCACTGTCCCACTTCCCACAGCCTCTCTGTGCCTTACCAGGGCTTCCAGAGGAGGATTCGTGGGGAAGGGAAGCTTCATCAGCAATAGGGCCCACCCCAGACCCCTCAGAGCCCACCCCAGGCCCCTCAGGGCTTCAGTATAGCAACCTGCCCTCCACTCTGTAGTCCCCTCCTGAGACCCAGTTCTGGAGCCAGGAAGTGGTTTCTCCTCCCTAAAAGGCAGTCAGCGCTCTGCATTACTCAGTTAAGATTCTGCCTGATCTTAGTGGGTGTTTTCATTGAATAGGGAATTCAAGTCTGGATTTAAATGCCATAGAAAAAGAAAAAGTTACTGTCTTTTCAGAATGCCCATTGTAACTTGTCCTTAGAGTACCCCCCTCTCCCCAAGCATAGTCCTTTTCCACTTAAATTGACCAGCTGAACCACTAGATAAATACAGCTGCAAAGTGAATAGTTATGGGTATGACTTCTTTCCCTCATTCAGTTTGCCCTCCCGGCTTAGCCAAGTCAGAGATTTTGAAATACCACTCACCCTTTCTGTGACTGTGTCCACAGAGCACAAAGCCAAGGGCTCATCAAGTAATCCTGATAATTTGATACATGTGAAAGTGAAACATAGGGAATGAATTACCCTGTTTGGCTACACCCATCAGTTTAACCAAGTATCTGCCAGTGTCACCCTGTCCAGAGTGGTGGCTCTGCCACTCAGCATCTGTACCTCAGTTTCCCCATCTGTAACATGTGGGCATTGGATCTGAGAATTCCGAGGTCCTGAAAGTTCTCAGGATCTTTATTTTATAGTTACAGAACACATCCTTTACAAGTCAGAGAACTTAGAGGTGGGTGATTGTTTGAATAAAAACGATCCTCTCTATGAAACTTCAACCACATAATTATTTTATGTAGCAAGTATCCACTGTGTACTTGAAGCAGGATTCAATATACAAAATACTGACATGCGGTCAGCTTTTAAGGGACACTTTTACCATTGCAAGTGAGGCTTGCCCATAGGTCACGGTTTCTAAAAACATGATAATTCCCTCCCTTCAGAAAGTCCTTGACAGTGAAACAGTAGAATCCCTTCTAAAATCATTACTTCTCTTGGACCGAGTTTTTTTCTTTTCTGTAAAAATTATATTATAAACCTTTAAAAATTGGCTTAATTATAATAATCTACTGGTCCTTTTGAAGCACAAACCACACTATATCACTCTTCTGCCTACAACACGCCAGGGGTCTCCCACTGTTCGCCAGGGTCACGCCAGGTTGTGGCCAGGCCTTTGTATGTGCTGTTCGCTCCACCTGGAATGTTCTCCCCAATCCTCTCTTTCATTCCCCCTTACCTTGGAATTCAGTTCTGTCATTACTTCTTTGGGAAATGTCGAATCCTTTTATTATAACTCTGAGGTGCAAGTTGAAGTTTCCTTGGATGAGCATGTCCTGACCAGAGTAGCCTCTACACTCCGCTGTTGCTCAAGAAGACACTGGGTTGCTCACTACATGCACGACGCTCTCCAGGCACTGGACTCACAGCAGGGTGTCTACAGTCTTCTGGGTAAATAGACAATAGTCAGGTGCAAGAACGAACACAACTGCGACTGCCCTCCCCTCACATTCTTACAGAGAATTAAACGAGTGGTTGGCATAATCGTGGGGCGTGCTATGAGAAGGAACGGGTAGACCATCAATGCAACAAGCTCCCATGTAGGATGAATTTATGTCCTAATCACATGTTTGTTCAAACAACCATTTTTACTACTTTCAGTCTAAGAAGCTGGGAGAGAAAGGATCATGGGCTGACATGCCCTGGGCCAGCATGGTCAGCGGAGCGAGGGTCTATTTTGAGCCTCTTTCTCCATCCTAAAAGTCTACCCAAGCTCCTGGACTAGGCCACCCTGCCCCAATGCCAGCACTTCACTTTTTTCTTCTTTAAATGAATTTCTGTTTCCAACGGTGCACACCCCTCCCATCAAATACAACAGTAGTCTAGCCTACCATTTTGATTTAATGTTCATAATATTTATAGAACATCTACACTATCATCCCCATTTGACAGACAGGGAAATAGATCCAGAGACCCCGGCTGGTTCATGGCAGAACTATGATCTCAAAGCAAGGTCTCTGGCTCTTGGTCCGGCATTTTCCCCACCGTATCTCAGCCTCCTGGGCTAAGCCAGGCCTTTTTCAGAGCCTTGAGAAGCCAAAGCTGGCTGCCTCCTGCTGGCAGGGAGTTCCTTCCAGGCTTTGGATGCTACTGCTAGAGAGAGTTCGGGAAGCAAGGAGGGTCGATTATGCAGAGCTGGTCTATGCTTCTATTTCCCTCCCTCATCAGGGAAGGAGGAAATGCCTTGCACATTAGGGGGTGGGGGTGGGGGACTATGAAAACCAATAATTCATGACCGCTGATAAGTGTCAGAAAAGTATTTACTCACATTCATTCCCTGAAAGTCACATTCCCCATGCGTTCTCATCTGTCTCTCAACGATGGCATTAGTCAGGTGAACTCAGCAAGAAAGACCAAGGTTTTAGCCAAATGCTGCGGAGGGAGAGAGTTTCATTTAACTTCATTTTTCCAGCCAGGGCTGGGTCCACAGCCAGTTTTTTGACTAGGTTGTTTGCCACACGAAAAGCAAATTCCCAGAGGTTTCTGAGATTGCCGAGATCCAAAGCAAGATGAC